GGAAAGCTCGCAAATCGAGCCAGCATTTCCCATAGGAATGCATTGGAAACCAATTACAGTGGTGCCTCGCTTAACGATTTTAATTGGTTTCAAAAAAACATCGCTATGGGAAAACATCGCTAAGTGAAACACATTTTCCCATAGTTTTCCCATAGCACTGAAAACTGGATAATCCGTTCCAATAGGAACGGATTGCCGTCCTTAAGCGAAAAGCGCCATAGGAAACATTGCTAAGCGATACAATGTTTCCTCTATTGGAATGCATTGAAGCCTATTCAATGCATTTCAATGGTTTTGCGATGTCCGTTTTTGCAATTTTTAAAGTGTCTTAAAATGTTCAAAAACTGTTTTAAATGCGTGGATTCGTTAGAGCACCTTGTAAAACGTGTGCAAACTTAATTTGGCTTTGTTCTGAGTCTTCGTTAATTTTTGACAATTTTTTTTCTCCCCCATTGGAATGCACTGAATCTGATTTTGATGGCTGTCAAAATCGGGTTCAATGCATTTCAATGGGGGGGGGAAATTCGCCAAAAATTAATGAAGAGTCAGAACAAAGCCAAATTATGTTTGCACACGTTTTACAAGGTGCTCTAACAAATCCAAGCATTTAAAACAGTTTCTGACTCTTCGTTAATTTTTGGTGAATCCCCCCCCACAATTGGAATGCACTGAACCCGATTTTGATGGCTGTCAAAATCGGCTTCAATGCATTTCAATGGGGGGGGGAATTCGCCAAAAATTGATGAAGAGTCAGAACAAAGCCAAATTATGTTTGCACACGTTTTACAAGGTGCTCTAACGAATCCAAGCATTTAAAAGTTTCTGAACATTTTAAGGCACTTTTAAAATTGCAAAAATGGACATCGTTAAGCAAAACAGGGGACCCAAAACGCATTCGCTATGCGAAGCATGGTCCCAAAATCGCTAAGCGAAAATCGCCCATAGGAAACATCGTTAAAAGATGTGGAAAATTCTTTTAAAAAACCCAGCGCTAAGCGAATACATCATTAAACAAGGCAATCGCTAAGCCAGGCACCACTGTAATCCATTCCAGCCAAAGTCCTTCCATGGTGTTGGGGAAGCATGGCTTTTCACCTGATGTTGCTACAGCTGCTGACTCCCTTTGGTGCCGGGCCATGGTCTGAGCTCAGCCCAGCAAGAAGGGAACACAGCATCGGGTGAAAGGAGGGAGCTGATT